TACACAGCTATTCACACACACACACACACACACATAGATAAATGTAAACACACACACTACTGTCGCATCTGTGTGACATCACTTCATGACACACACAATCATCTTCACCTCTGGCAGGAACACACCTATTCTCTCTGTCTCACACACACAGCTGCTCATGTCCAGGTGATGACGCTGATCTACAACACTAATACTGACCCCAGATCAGAACAAAAACAAAAAAATTACATAATGATGAATAAGTGTTCATTCACAATAAACAACCACATCCAAAGTAAACACACACACACACACACACACACACTTGCGCTCTGGCCATTCTCCACCCTTGATCATCATTAGCATTAATCTTAAATCATTAAGTCTTAAAACATTAATTTCTTTGTATATCTTTTATGATTTAGGTTTTATTTTGTTTATGATTATACATTTTCATTTTTGATTCGTTTATTAAATAGTAATAAACACACTACATCTCTCATTGAAACATTAAAAACTAAATAAAAAAACAGTCATTTAAATGAAATAAACAAAAAAATAAAATGCTTAAAATGTGAAATCATTTAAAATAAAAGCAAAATAAAAGCCATACTAAACATTAATTAATTAATTACTTATTTAAATGTATAATTGAATTATAACTAATTAAATTATAATAACGTACATGAAAATAAGTTTAATAAAACACACTAAAACTTTTAAGAATAAAGGTAAAGATTATCATCAGTGTCATCAGGACTGTCAGCGCTAGTGATGGTCAAGGTGGTCAATCTGACACACACACACACACACACGCACACACACACACACACACACACACACAGGTAAACTCCCCCAGTGTTTTCTGATAAATCAATCCTCCGTCAGACTGAAGCGATGTTTTCACAAGTGATGTTTCAGAAGGACACACTGATAATAAAGTGATGATAACTGGAAAATATGATGACATATGATGAGTAAAGTGTGTGAGGAGCTCATGCTAATCTGTTGCTAACCGCTTCCGGTCGGACAGAAACTTCAAACTCACACACGCATTAAACGCGCTTTTACAATCGTGTATGGTCACGGTGGCTCTGACAACATCAGCCATCTAACCGAAGCAGTTTTAACGCCTTTTGTTTACCGCGTTTTCACAATATTCGCGTTATTATCATTAGCTTCCGTTAGCTTGTCGGCTACTACCTGCTGGCGCGCGCTCCTGCCAGCCGCCGCGCGCGTTCACGAGCAGAGAGAGAGAGCGAGAGAGAAACAGAGATTTGACGGTTCTTCGCGGGAACCTGGCCCGTTACCCGTGTGGAGGTGAGGTCCATCATGACCTCCTGGAACGCTGCCGTCTCCTCCGCCTGTCTCTGCGCGTGCATCGCGATCTTCTCGCTGAACTTTCGCGGGTTTGAGGCGCCGGACGCGGCAATTGAGGCGCCGTGATTCGGTCCCGGTGTCGGTCCACACGCGGAGGACATGATGAGGATCCCGAACACACACACACACACAGACCCAGAGCACCGGAGAACTGACACACACACTGACGGAGACACCGACACACACGAGCCCTCTAGGGGCACCAGGGAGACTTACACACACACACACACACACACACACACACACACAGTAAACATGCTCATCATACATTCATTATAAGCTGCTGTAAACACAGAGACACACACACACGAACATATACATACCAGTGAGACTTATTTACACACACACACACACACACACACACACACACACACCTTACACTCAAAACCAATGAGACTTTTTTACTACACACACACGTACTGTAAACACAAAAACACTCACACACATTCCAGCTAGATGTAAACATCACACACACTGTGAACACACCCCCATACCACACACACACACACACACATACACAAACTAACAATGCTCTCTCTCTTGCACACACACACACACACACCAACGAGACTTTTACTTACACACACACATACTAACAAGACTCTCTTTCTAACACACACACTCAGTGTAAACAGAAACTACCATCCAGACATTTTACACACACACACACACACACACACACACACACAATGTATTAATTTTTTACATTGGGCGGAACGATGGGTCAGTGGTGTTGCACTGTCGCTTCACAGAAAGAAGGTTGCTGGTTTGAGTCTCGGCTGGGTCAGTGTGTGTTTCTGTGTGGAGTTTGCATGTTCTCCCCGTGTTGGTGTGGGTTTCCTCCGGGTGCTCTGGTTTCCCCCACAGTCCAAACACATGCGCTATAGAGGCACTGATCAACTACACTGGCCGTAGTGTACGAATGTGTTTCCCAGTACTGGGTTGCAGCTGGAAGGGCCTTCATTGTGTAAAACATGCTGGAATAGTTGGCGGTTCATTGCACTGTGGTGACCCCTGATGAATAAAGGGACTAAGCCGAAAAGAAAATGAGTGAATGAATGAATTTCCTACAGTGATGTGTTTCGGCCAGGCAGGATCTGTGCACATTTTTAGCTGTTTCTGCACCAGATCTGTTGAAAATCTGCAGATTTATGCTGAATACTTTTGGGAGTATCGAAACTAAAAACTTAATATATGAAACTAAAATAACTGCTTTAATTGAATGTTTACAATGCAAATCCAGTTAGATCCACTTCATTGTTAATTAAAGCAAGTCTCTCATATAATATATCTCTACCAGGACAAAGGAGAAATAATAATACTGACACTACATATTTGCATAATACATAGACTCAGTGACGGCCTAAACATCTGCACAGGCAGATTACGTGTGCTCCTACTCATCATTACTTAAAAACTGTTATTACATAACTTAACTACATTCTTGTAATTCATTCATTAATATTTGGCTTAGCCCCTTCACTAATCTGGGCTTGCCACAGCGGTATGAACCGCCAACTTATCCAGCATATGTTTTACGCAGCGGATGCCATTCCAGACACAACCCATCACTGGGAAACACCCATACACACAATCACACACACTCAGACACTATGGTCATTTTTAGCCTACCCAGTTCCCCTATAGCGCATGTGTTTGAACTGAGGCGAACATGCTACCCGTTGCTCGCCCATGTTACTCTATTAATTTAGCAAGAAATAAAGCATGTTGTCTTAGCATTCTCTTATAAACTCTCATCCTGACTCAAAGGATTGTGTTCGGCACTACTTGCTTGTTTGTTTTGAAGCCAGATTTAAAAAATAATTTTAATAATAAGATGAATAATTTATATTAAATAGTGTAGTGCTTTTACAGTGAGCGCCACCTACTGGCAGAGAATGAATGAGACATTTTCAGCCTGATAGCTGTTTCCTTTTTACACAGAGCTTAATCTATATATTTATAATAATACACACACACACACACACACACACATTATGTAAATATAAACTTTATTTTGTAGACAATTACAGCACTAATGTAAAGCAGCTTCGACAGTATAAACACTCGACTTGACTGCTCTGCCCCTTTGGCTTTATTATTGTGATGATAATCAAATGCATATTTGCTTTATATATTTGCATTACTACAAATTGTAAATTGGATGAGAAGCAAACTTGATTTAGTTTAGTCAAGATGCTAACAAACGTTGACAGCCTGAGACAATCGAAATACGAAATACTTCACTATTTTGAAGCGTTCCAAACAGCTCATGCTAGCGACACCTGCTGGTCAACACTGTGTAAATGCAACAAAAACTCATAATAAAGACAGTACAATTGCAGTGTAATTCATAACTGCCAGCACAGCCGCATGTGACAGTAAATGAGTATGTATACTGCGAATATTGCAACAGCATTTGTGTGTGACTCATCATTGCAGAATGGCTTGAATAAACTCCACACCAAACACATCAAATAACCTTATGCTGTGTTCACACCAGATGCGTAAATAGACGCGTGAACATATGAGTAAATTCGCACGTAAATAGACGCGTGAACATTTGAGTAAATTCGCACGTAAAGAGACGCGCGAACATTTGAGTAAATTCGCACGTAAATAAACGTGTGAACATTTCAGTAAATTTGCCTGAAATAGACGCGTGAACATAAATAGACATAAATAGACGCGTGAACATTTGAGTAAATTCACAAGTAAATAGACCCATGAACATTTGAGTAAATTTGCACATATAGAGATGCGTGAACATTTGAGCAAATTCGCACGTAAATAGACGCGTGAACATTTGAGTAAATTTGCACGTAAATAGACGCGTGAATATTTGAGTAAATTCGCATGTAAATAGACGCGTGAACATTTGAGTAAATTCACAAGTAAATAGACCCATGAACATTTGAGTAAATTTGCACATATAGAGATGCGTGAACATTTGAGCAAATTCGCACGTAAATAGACGCGTGAACATTTGAGTAAATTTGCACGTAAATAGACGCGTGAATATTTGAGTAAATTCGCATGTAAATAGACGCGTGAACATTTGAGTAAATTTGCACATATAGAGACGCGTGAACATTTGAGCAAATTCGCACTTAAATAGACGCGTGAACATTTGAGCAAATTCGCACTTAAATAGACGCGTGAACATTTGAGAAAATTCGCACGTAAATAGACGCGTGAACATTTGAGAAAATTCGCACGTAAATAGACGCGTGAACATTTGAGCAAATTCGCACTTAAATAGACGCGTGAACATTTGAGAAAATTCGCACGTAAATAGACGCGTGAACATTTGAGAAAATTCGCACGTAAATAGACGCGTGAACATTTGAGAAAATTCGCACGTAAATAGACGCGTGAACATGAGTAAATACGCACGTAAATAAACGTGTGAACATTTGAGTAAATTCGCACGTAAATAGACGCGAGAACATTTGAGTAAATTCGCACGTAAAAAGACGCGTGAACATTTGAGCAAATTCGCACGTAAATTGACGCGTGAACATTTGAGTACATTCACACGTAAATAGACGTGTGAACATTTGAGTAAATTCGTACGTAAATAGACGCGTGAACATTTGAGTAAATTCATACGTAAATAGACGCGTGAACATTTGATGGAGTTCGCACGTAAGTAAACGCATGAAAATTTGAGTAAATTTGCGCATTAATAAACGTTTGAACGTTTGAGTAAATTCAAGCATAATTAGACGTGTAAACATTTGAGTTTGTTCGTTTCATTCGCGCGTCAAATTCACTTAGCAATAGACGTGGAGTCGCATCATGGGCAGGGCTTCTGTCTATCCGGTGACTGTAGCTTCATTGCTAAATGGCTAACATGGATGTTATTGAGAGAAAAGCTGTGTTTATGTGCTTTATAAAGGCTGAAAAACACTGTCGATTGATTTGGAGCCGTGTCTTTTGGAGTCCACTAGATCCTTTCAGAGGTGCAGTAGCTCTGTGAGCTCATAAACTTCTCCAGAAACGGAACCTGGATGATAGAGGCTTTCAGCGCGGCTTCTGACAGAGCCGATCTCAGTTTGATGAACTGTTCTCGGTGAAGGCAGGAAGATTTCCCCCTGGAGCACCAACAACAGGCGCAACCACATAAGCATGCCCCTACAAGAGCAAGCTCCCGATTGGTTAACGCAGTGCAAATGTCCGCTGAAGTACAGATTTTCTAACTTGATCGATTTGTGCGAGACATGTGTTAGGTGCATCAAACATGCAAAATGTTCACTTCATGCCGCGCTATTTACGTCTATCGGCCACAAGATGTCTATTCATGTCTTTGCATTGACTTAACATGTAAATCACTCGCGCTTGATGCTTCTTCCACGTCTGATGTGAACACAGCATTACTGTGGTATTGTAGACTCATAAACTGGATCTCTGCTTCATCTGTGTCCGTCTCTGTCACTGACTGCTGTTTATCTGACATGACGCAGGAGAAACACACACACATGTGGAAATGGTGGGTGGGGAGAACCAGCTCATTTGCATTTAAAGAAACAGGCTATCAAACAGCCACAACATCCTCAGAGCCAAAACTCCCATATTCAGCAGCGTATAGTAAATGATCTGATGGGTAATTTGAGCTGAAACTTTACACACACACACATGGAGACCCCACAGACTGATCTTACATCTATAAAAAGGTAAAATAGGAGCTCCTTAATTTATTATATTTATGCATTTTATAACTGCATATTAAACTATTTTATTAGTATTCTAATCAATTGCAATATTACAATTTACCGTAGATGCATTATTAATACAATTGCAACAATAGTTGCAATTAAAGTAAATATTTAATGTATAAATAGTCATCTTTATCCAATATAATGCAGGCCTGCTGTAAATTACAGATTCAGGAGCTTCCTGCATTAGTGTGTGTGTGTGTGTTTACATTAGACAATACACTCCTTTCAGACCATCAAGCACTTGGTAAACTCAGTGTGAAGGGTTCAGACTTGACTGATCAGCACCGCCGTGACCAGAGCGAACCCGGTCAACAGGAACGCCACCTTATGCATGCGCTGTTTGGGCGAGCTGGACTCCGGAAACAGCAGTCCACTGATGGAGATGCAGATGAAGATCCCGCAGGTCAGACCCTCCACAGCACAGCGCACCACATCAGCCTGGAGATTAACACAGACAATCCTTCATATTACAAACTGCATCTGAAATCACACACTACTACATAGCACTGAATGAGCTGTAGAGAAACAGGAACAGTAGGAACAACAGCATCTGTGTTAAGCTACAGAAGTAAAGATGAACTGAATGAGAGTAGTGTGAATGAGTGAATGAGTAGTACATCTGAATTCAGAGCATGTGAAAAACAGTAGATCTGGAGTATCCTCATATACAGGATGATTACTGGCTCTCATCTTGTGTTTTCAGGCCCTGATCACACTCAGTGTGTTTTCAGAGGCGAGAGGTGCCTTTCTAAATGGATTTCTATTGGCACTGAGTGTTTTGCACAGTGTTTATTGTGTTCGCCTGCTGCGCCTCATGTTTTGACGGATCGCTCTGTGCGCCTGCAGCTGGAAAAAGTCAGCTCTGCAGAAGAATAGCCTGAGCATAAAGGCGTTTGATAGCGTGGGTGCATATCATCATAGAAAATGCTTCTTGATTTGTATATTTTAAGATTTGGACTAAAAACAAGACAGAAACTGTAAGTAAGCAGAGTATTTTGATGAGTGCAGTAAACAGTACCGTATACGCCTGATCGCCGGGCGTGCCTCTGAGCATCGCCGTCCCCATGGCGACAGGTCGGGCGGAGCAGAAGAGCACCAGACCACCGGTTGCCACCGCACGCCGCAGACCCGCCGGAGCCAGCTGCAACGCCAGCCCGAACGCCAGCAGACCCTCGCGGAGCAGCGCAGCACCACAAGACCACAGCGGAGGAGGCACAGCGCACACACCCTCCAGCAGAGAGCGCACACACACACACAGCAGCAGCAGACACACACGCAGAGCCTCGTGAGTGCGGCTGTCCTCCACATATAAGCGCGTGCGCTCAATCAGCGTCTGCTTCTCCACGGACGACACACACACCTGCTCTCTGAAGGCCAACAGCATCTGCTCCACCAGCAGCACCAGCAGAACTCCCATCGCCAGCAGGAACTCCGACAGGGGAAACCGCAGCTGCATACACACACACACATAGACACATATATACACACAGACACAAACATATACACACAGATACACACATATACACAAAGACACACACATATATACACACAGACACACACATACATATAAGCATATATACACACACACACATGTGACTGTGATAGAATTGTAGATCTGTACTGTGTGTGTAGTGCAGTGGTCAGTGATGATCAGTCACTCACGGTGATGTCCAGACGGCTGAACGTGTCTCTCATGTCCGTCAGATATTTGGGCAGCAGATCCAGCAGACTGAAGCCCAGAAACACACCACTGGACAAACATGATGCCAGACTCAATGCTCTGAGCCGAGACCCTACAAAAACAAACACACACACACACACACACACACACACACATTACTGACTTTAGATCAAAAACTACACAGTACAGTTCATATGAAAGTTCATATGATTTTGGCTTTCTCAAATCATCATCATTATTATCAGGACAGGTTTCTTTCTTTCTTTTTTCATTCATTCATTCATTCATTCATTCATTCAGAGTAGATAGACTGCTTTAGTCTTAATATTGTAGGAAGTATAGTACTGTAATATGACTGACTTAGATCTCACCTGGATCAGAGGTGTAACGAGCCGCTTGTCTCATGAAAAACCCAGGACTGAAGCCACACAACAGACTGAAACAGAACATCACAGTCAGAGTCAAGAGATTGAGATGAAGAGCAGCTGACGAGTCCATCATCATCATTATCGTCATCACAGATAGACATCACA